GAGGAGGAGGAGGAGGAGGAGGAATTAGGAGGAGGAGGAGGAGGGCGCAGGAGGAGGAGTTGCAGGGTGCAGGAGGAGGAGGAGGAGGAGGAGGAGGAGGAGGAGGAGGAGGAGGAGGAGGACCAGTACAAGCCCAAGACGTACCAACGATATTGCAACAACCTTCCCCCAAGGTCCTTTTTCAAAGACACTTACAAGAGTTTGTCATTCACTGAAGGAAGTGACCCGTCGGAAAACAACTATGTGACAATCTAGAACTGTGCCAGAGCACCATTCCTGGACCTTCAGCGCCGTGGATCTTGTCACCGTTGTGTCTTGACGATTTTGAATCCTGCCAGGACGCCATTCCTGGGACATCATCCCCACGAATCAACGTAACTGTTGCGCTTTGACATCTCAGCATCGTGCCAAACAACCGTTTCTGGGACATTCGCGATGGGAATAGTTTTGTAATTGCTGTCGTAATGTCAAAACGAATGTGGGTGACGGTAAGGCGAGAGCCACATTTCGAACAATGAGCCGCCCTCCATCCGTGAAGCTCTTGCGACTTCTGAAAACGAGTTTGCGCGGCGCTGAGGCGGGAACCACATTTTGAAAATGAGCCGCCTGCCATCCGTGAAGCTGTGCATTTTTCAAGACGGATGTGCACGGCGCTACAGCGAAAACCACATTTTGAAACCGACCCGCCTTCCATCCGTGAAATTCTTGTAATCGTTTAAGATGGATGTGCGCGGCGCTCAGGCGAGAACCACATTTTGAAAACGACCCGCCCTCCATCCGTGAAATTGCTGCAAAGTTTGAGCTTCAGGATCGCAAGCGGTGAAGAAGTCTCAGGAGAAACGCCCAGCCCGGCCCGCCGTTTCGACCAGAATTGGGGTGCGAATCTGAGGACTTGCTTAGAAGGAATGGAGTGGATCGTGCAGGAGGAGGAGGCGGCGGCGGAGCACGGGCGCGCGGGCGGGGTCGAGGGGAGAGGGAGGGAGGGAGGGAGGCAGAGAGGGTGGGAGGCGGCTGGCTGGCTGCTGGCTGGGTGGCGGCCGTTGGGTTATGAGTGGGGGCTGCAGGGAAGGCAACCAGAGGGGCAGCTCCCCCTCGCGCGTTTCCCGTCTTTGCGCTGCCGACCTCTTCCAGGAAAAGGAAGGGTGGCAGTGAGGAGGGAGCGAGGAAACGAGACAGGAAGAAAGGGAACGATCGAGGGATGAGCAAGGGTGCCCCCTCGTGCGCGCCGCCAGTCTCACGGTCCCCCCCCCTCGTGCGCGCTGTTACGGCGGGGCCGGTGACAGAGGGGGGCTGCTACCCCGCGGCAGCGCCGCAGGGCACGACACCCCGGAGCATCAGCCTCAAGAGCAAGAAGTCGAGAAAGGCGCGAGCAACCGTGTTGCGGCGCCGGGGGCGGGGAGAAGGGAGGGGAGGGGAGGGGAGGGGAGGGAGCGGAGGGGAGACGGGTGGGAGGACGGGGTGGGTGGAAAGAAGAGCAGGGACGGAGGGATGGAGAGAGAGAGGGGGGAGGAGGAGAGGAGGAGGAGGAGGGTCCAGTGTAAACCCAAGAGTCATCAACGATGTTGGAATAAACCCTCTCTTCAAGCTCCTTTTTTCCGCTACAACGGCTTGTTTCCATTGGAAAATTGCCTCTTTGGAAAATAACCGTTTGAAGACCCTGAAGCATGCCAAGGCATTGTTCTCGAGATTCCAGCGCCACGGATCAAATGAACGGCTGCGTCTTGACAATCCTGGATCGCGCCAGAACACCATTCCTGGGATTTCAACACACCGAACCAGCATAAATGTTGCACCCGCGTAATCCTGAATCCGTTCAAAGCACTATTTCTGGCACGCCGATGATGGGAATCCATGGGACCCTTTCAAATTATGTGTAATGTGCGCGGCGCTAAGGCGATAGCCAAGTTTTCAAAAGGAACCGCCCTCTATCCGTGAAGCTCTTGCAAATGTTGAAAACTGAACGTGCGCCGCGTTCAGGCGAGAGTCACGTTTTGAAAACCACCCGCCCTCAATGCGTCAAGCTCTTGAACATGTTTAAAACTAATGTGCGCTGCGCGTTGGCGGGAGCCACATTTTGAAAACCACCCGCCGTCAATCCGTGAAACTCTTGCAAATGTTTAACCGAACGTGCGCCGCATTTTGAAAACGACCCGCCCTCAATCCGTGAAGCCCTGGCAAAGTATTAAACGAGAGTGTGTTCCGCGCTAAAGCGAGAGCCACATTTTGAGAACGACTCGCCCTGAATCCGTGAAATTTGTGCAACTTTTAAGAACTAGTGTGCGCCGCGCTAAAACGAGAGCCACATTTTGAAAACGACCCGTCTTCCCATCTGTGAAGGTGGTTGCCAATTTTAAGCTTCGGAGTCATAAATGGTGAGGACGTCTCAGGCGAAACGCCGGGCCCGCCCGACACACTGGCCTCTGGGTGCGACAGGGACAAGTTATTTAAAAGTAAAGGGTATGGAAGATGAGGAGGTGGAGGTGGACGTGGAGTTGGAGGAGGAGGAGGAGGAGGAGTGCCAACCAAAGACGCACCAACGATATTGCAATCCACCCTCCCTTCAAGTTCCTTATTCACAGGCCATTACAAGGGTTCACCTTCACTGAAGGAAGTGCCCCGTCGGGAAACAACCGTGTGACAATGTAGAAGCGTGCTGTGCCAAAACACCATTCCTGGACCTCCAACGCCGTGGATCCTGGTACCGTTGTGTCTTGACGATCTTCAACCGTGCAGCAGCAACAGCAGGAGGATGAGCAGCAACAGCAGCAGGATCAGGAGGAAGAGGAGGACCACTTTAAACATAAGTCCCATCCGCTGTGTTGCAATCGGCCCTCCCCTCAATTCCTCTCTACGTAGGCTCCTATAAGAATTGCTTCGCTGCGGGAGAAGCCCCTTTGGAAGGCAACCGTCTGAAACTTATCATCCGTGCCGAAGCTCCACTCCTAGGCTTTGAACGCCGTGAATCCTGTTACTTTTGCGACCGGACGATCCTAAACCGTACCAGGCTGCTGCTGTGTCGTCCGCGCCGCGGGTCTGCGTGACTGGCGCGCCCTGACAATCCTAATTCGTATCAACACATTGTTCTTGGGATGCTAGCCAGAAGAATCGCTGTAAGCTGTGAAAGCGAATGTGCGCGGCGCTACATATAGAACCACCTTGTGAAATAAAACCAGGCACCTACCGAGAAGCTTCTGCCACGTTTTAGGACGAATGTGCGCGGCGCGAGGGCGAGAGCCAGGTGATGAACACCACCAGCCCTCCATCCGTGAAGCTTCTGCAATCTTTAAAATGCGAGCGTGCGCGGCGCTAGGGCGAGGGCAACATTTCGAAATCAGTTTGTTTTCCATCCGTGGGGGTGTTGAGCATTTCAAGCTTCAGGATCATAAAGGAGTGGTAAGGAGGTATCAGGCGAAGCGCCTGACCCGCCCAACTGGCCCTTCTCGTGGTGCGACAGGGGGGGGTTATTTATAAGGAGGAATCGAGAAGGAAAGTGAGCACTCGCAGGAGGAAGGAGGGAGGAGAAAAGGAATGAGGAGGTGGAAGGGGGATATTTTGAATTGCGTTCTGATTCGCCGAGGAGACGGCCAGGTAGGTGCGGCACTCACTAGCTGCTGGCAGAGTGGACGCCAAGGTTTGGTGAATCTCCCAGTCGGCTAACCCGTACCACCCCCATATCGTCGGAAGGCGCTCAAGGCGCATTGCAACGCAACAGGAGTAGGGAAAAGGGGAAATGAGGCTTATCAAGGAAGGGAGCAGGTGGGATAGCCTGCAAAAGGCCGAAAGGGCAGCTAAGTGGGCGTGGCGAGGCAGGGGCCAGCGGGAGTGCACGATTTTCGCACGCTCGACCTGTGTCCCATGCCTACCTCATCGCCGACATGCGAACAACGCTCCCGCCAACAAGCCTATACCCAGGGGAAGTGGGGAAGGTGGAACTGCCTGGCGTGTCCGATGCGCGGGCAGGGCCTGCGCGCGTGTCTGACCGCCCCGATGGAGGTTCGCCGTGCCTGGTACAGCGCCCGACACCTCCCGACCTAGGGCGGCAGCTAGAGATCGAACGCAAAGAGAAGCACCAAAAGGGACAATATTCGGACGAAAAGGTAGCTGAGTGGGGGGCGGGTGCGAGGCAGGGGCCAGTGGGAGTGCACGATTTTCGCACGCCCGACCTGCGGCAAGTGCCTGCTCCAACGCCACAGTAGAAACCCCGCCCCCGTCAACGTGCCAATCCCGCCCCCGGTCCTGACCACGGTAAGCTGAAAAAGCAAGGACAAAGGGGAAGTTGAGATGGCCTGGCGAGCCCGATGCGCGGGCGCGGGCAGGCGCGCGCGTCTGCCCGCCCCGAGAGATGTTCGCCGTGCAATGTACGGCGCCCGAGAACCTTTTCGAATTAAGGCGGCAGCTGGAGACAGAACGGACAAGGACGCACCGGGATCATAATCGAGGCAAAGAAGGCAGCAACAGCATGGCCCTGAGTCATCATGCCGTAGGCCCCCTGGTGTCCCATGCCACCAGAGACCGGGCATACAGAGAGAGGTGGCTGAAAGAGGCGGCACAGAAGACAGCGGCAACGTGCCACTCTGCACCCCCAGTTCCCCGCACAAAACCGAACAACAATCCACAGCGTCTCATGGTCGATGACAGGCAGCAACTTATCCAAACAAACCTCTGCCAACATTAGGATCCAGGGTCCAAGGGGCTACTTCGCGCAAGCGAGCCTGTTTCTCTTTCTGGAATTTAGCAGCTCTTCTGTTACGTGCCTGCGCACGGTTCTGCGCAATGCGCTCCAATACTTTTGGCGATAGCGGCGCAGGGGCGGGCGGGGGGGGATCTGTCCTCCTCTGCGAGTCACCAAGAAAAGCACGTTTCTCTACATATTCCTGCTCCTCATCAGCCTCAGGTCTAACCCCCGCCATGTCATCGCGAACCTGCGAGGTGGCAGAGGTGACCTGATCTGATGTTGGGGGGGCATGTAGCGGTCGAAACCGATCAAGCTCGGGGTCGTGTCGGACGCGGCGTGCACGCCGAGAATCAAAGTCAGGGCCCATCCCTCGTCTGTGCCAGTATAGGGATCCCAGGAGACAAGGAAGCGTGGCAGTCCGTCGCGAACTCCACCATCCCCCCCCCCCCCCCATCTCGCCCGGAACAATGGGCTCAACACTGCCCGCGTCCCCCTCCCACGCGGCGCGCGCTGCGTCGGCGGTGGCAACAGCGATGCACTTACACAGGCCGGCGGGGTACGTTTGCTTTTTGGCTGTGCGCCACTACTTCCTATCCCTATCGCGCCCAAGAAGCGTTTCGTGTCCGCCCTTACCGGGCGCGCATCTGCCGTTTCCAGGGGTCGCAGGCAGGGCGGCGCGCAGCCCTGGCAGTCTTCGTGCAACGATCCTCGCGGGGGCCCTTGACGTCTGGCCATGTTCGCACATATCAAAATCTGTCGTCGAGACTGCTGGGGGCGACTGGAGAGCGCGCATCGGATCGCAGGTCAACGAGCTGACGGCTTGAAGCCACCGTTCACACGGCTGGGGGTGCTCAAGGCAACGCGACGTCCCAGCCTGCATAGGTGCAGCGAAGGGCACCAGCGTAGCATGGCAAAGCGCAGTGCCCGCCCGCAGCTGTTCCATCTGGCGCCCAGCGACTGCCGTCTTACCCTAAACATGGCCATGCGCGCGCAGCGGCGGCGCGCCTTGGTCTCCTGCCCATCGAGAGGCAGACCAGGTCTCACGCGGAGGCCCGCCACCCGACATCACCGCCCGTCGTGCGAGGATGCGAGACCTCCATTCTGCCAGTGTGTCCCGATGCATGAGATCCCCGTCCACTGCGTGCGCGGCTATACCCACTGACAGGACATGCATCGCATAATCTGAGCTGTAGTGCTCCCATTCAACTCGTGCCTGCACATCCCCCGCCCTCCTCCGTCCGCAAAACAAGCTCAGGACGGAGTATTCAACTCCGGCGGCCCTCGGCGTGGTCTCGGCTGCAACGCCAGTGCGCCGTTCTGTCACGAAAAGACGACTGGGGCATCTCTCAGTGGCGCACTGCGCGCGGTTGGCCGGCGGCGGCGGCACAACGGCGGCATTCGCATGGGCTTTAAAGGCAAGCAGCAAGCCCAGCTGGGAGAGCGGGGCCAGCGGCCGCAATCTCCAAACGCACAGTGCCATGGTCCATCGTAGCGATCAGTGCAAACGCATGCTCTGTGATGGGGCCAGCTGCGCGAACTGTCGGCACAACGACGCGACGGCGAGACACCTGCGCGCCTGGGATCCTGCCTGTCATGGGGGCTGAGACAACGGGATGCGCGATGTGATAACGAGGCGCAGCTCCTGAAATCGTAACACTTGGCACCGCAACTGCCGTGGTGTAACTTCT